ATTCAGTGTCATTGCATGTGTTTTGTGATTCTGAAGAGGACTTTATAGATTGGCATCAGACATATGGGCTAATGTTGGACTTAATGGCTTGATCTGGACTGGGCTGGGATGTTTTCTCAATATTCAACTGCTCTCGTGTATAAAAGCTCTTTCTTATTCACATATGAGTTTCTCCCTGGATTTGTTTCTCTAGTCTACCCAGACTAACACACCACAGTCGCTTTTCTGGCTTTGATAAGGCAAGACTACAAATGTAGACACTGAGAACAAGGGTGGGTTTTTTTTTTTTTTGGCTTATCAATATAAGGTAAATTGTTAAGGCTTTACTATGGAAAGGATTCATTTACGCATTTTTTTTCATACAAACTCTGATGTTAATATTTTCAATAAAATGTATTATGTAGCTAGCTAATTAAAAAAAACAACAACAATAATTTGCCTCATATTCCTGGCTAAAGTGAGTATGCCAAAAAAGGGACTGAGAAATCCTCAGAAAGGACTTCAACAGAAAGCCTAAAAGAGCTGAATGATATTCCAGTTGCTGCCAACCCCAAGGAGATGGACATTGGATTAAGAGTGTTTTTAAGTCAGAAGGCTTTGAAAAAAATCAACGACTTTCAACAGAAATGCTAAAGACCATCCATGTGTTAGGAATGAGGGAATTCCTGAGACTAATGGTGAAGTGCAGTGAAATGACACCATGGCCAGCAATCTCCCTGCATCAAGATTCAGCTTTCGGCCTCATCAGCCTGCAGCGATGGGAGTCTGAAGGGAGCCCCCGTTTTCATTGAGTTTATGGGCTTGAGTTGGGCTGGGCTGGGGCACCTTCGTGTGTAAAATTGGTTCTGGATATAAAGTTCTTTCTTGTACATAATGAGTGTCATTGATTTGTTTCTCTAGACAATCCAACCTACGACACAAGCCTACCTGCATGACTGAGAAGGGACACTGTAGACAAAAGAACTAATCCTTCATGTTTTGTAACCTATTAGCTTACCTAATAAATTCATAATTACGAATCTTGTCTGTGAGTTTGGAGTGGCCATGTCGATAGATTATCAATCTAGAAGAGAAGTAGACAGGTGGAGGGATGATTGGTGTCAGAGTAGGGCAAAGGTCAATTGGAGAGTGGAGGCTCCTCTAACTTCCGCCTTGTGGGAAATCAGCTGTGGGGTGGTATAGCGTGTGACTCTCCTCCCGCCTCTGTGTATCTATGGGAGGTCAGATATGGCTCCTGGGACATTTCTGCAAAGGGATTTTTCTTAGAAATGAAGGTAAAATCTGAGTACCAAAACCAGATGTCATCAAGTGAATTATAATTTAGTGTTAACTTGTGTTTCTGAGTAGAACTGTTATTTATAGAACTTTGATAGCTATAGTCTTCTGGAAGCAGATTACCAAGCCTTACTGACAAGGCACCTCTGGGTGGATTTGAACTACCACCCTTTCTTTTGGTGAGTAGCCACTTTACGAGCTATTTATGTCACCCAGGGACTCCTAAAAATCAAAGTAGGCTTGCTTAACTAATATGTAAATCTAGATGCTAGAGCTTTACCAGTTTAAGGTGATTAGTTGGAAATCTAACTGCTGCCTAGAATAAAGGTCAACCTCCTTCAGAGCACACAGTTCCAGACACACAACACGCAATCCCAGCAATGTTGCACCGCAATGCCCAGAATACAACAAAATGCAGCCAGGAATGTAAGAAACAGGAAAATGTGGCCTACGGTTAAAAGAGAAATTAGTCAATATTTATTGACCCTGAAATAATGCAGATGTGGGAATTTTGTTAGATGGGGATTTAAAAGCAGGGGTTATAACTACTATCTTGGGTTTTTAAGTGGGTTAATGATGTGAGTTAATGGGGAATATGCGCAGAGCACTAGAAACTACGGGGAAAATAAAAAAGGAATTCCCAAACTGAAAGCAATGCTCTCTAAAGCATGAACTCCATAGACACTGGGAAGGGCAGAAAAAAGGAAGCTGTACCCTGGAGATGGATCAATATAAAATATACTGTCCGGAGAGCAGTATGTCAACTCAGGACTTGAAATCTTGTGAAAATACTATTTTAAACTGAGAGTAAATAATGCATTTTTAAGTAAAGAAAAAATTGATAATCTATGTCATCTGTAAGAGTACACACAGGCGGGAGGCGCAGGTGGGAAGAGCAGATTTGTGAATAGCAACAACAAGCGTCTTTTGTTTGTTTCCTTGATTTGCATTTTTTTCAT